GCGGGGGAAGTGCTGGAGAGGTCGGGGTGTGGACGACCGTCGGGGTCAAGGGCTGCACCTGCTCCTGCGCGAGATGCACGTGCTCCTTGCTATGTTTGTTAAGAACAACGAGATGAGGTGTCCTTGGCCTGGTCTTCGTGCTTTGCGTCCTTCGCTTCCGAGTCGGCACGTTCCTGGCGAACTGTCTGAAGGGGAACCGAAGGCAATAGTCATGATTCCGGATCATAGTAGGTGCCGGGCCTTCCGTAAGTTGAGTTGCAGCTGGAGCTGGAGGATCTTGTCATCCCTCGTGCTCAAAGCTCTTCTCCAAAGCTCGACTGATTTCATAACCTTGCCCTTGTAGCTGTTGTGTGCAGCGCTCATATTCTCCATCTTCTTGCTGTACGTTGTGTTTCTCTCCCGCAGCTTGTGAGAGATCTTCTGCTTGTAGTCTTGCTTGGTCTTACGCATCTTCGAGTGGCACTCGGCCTTGAGTGCCTCGAGTTTGGCCTCACCCATGGCCTCCATTGTGAGGGTCTTCGTCTCGGCCTCCTTGAGTTTGGCCTCATACATGGCCTCCATTTCCTTGGACTTCTTCGCGGCCTCCTCGAGTTTGGCCTCATACATGGCCTCCATTTCCTTGGACTTCTTCGCGGCTTTCTCGAAATTGGCCTCATACGTGTCCTCCAATTGGTCCGTCGTCTCCTGGGCCTTCTTCTTTTCCTCTGCCAGCGCGGTGTACAGCATCTCCTGGTGTTTCTTCTTTTCAGCCGCCATCGCGTGCTCGTGATTCGTCTTCTGAATGGTGAACTCCAACTCAATTTCCTTGAGGCGGTCGATTTCTCGTTGGTTCTGAGCCTGCGTCATGATGGAGATCTTGTTGATGACGCCGTCCTGCTGCTTGTGCTCTTGCAGCTCCGTCTGCCATTGGTGGTGCATTCGTTGCAACTGTCTGTTGCAGAGGCGCATCACAGTGCTGAAGTCGTTTCTGGCGTGTTGTTCGTTGCGGTCGTGCTTAAGCTTGAGCTTCCATGAGTCCGGCAGGGGTAGGAGGTCTTTTCCAGTGGCCTTCGTCTCGTCTGCTCCGTCGCGCTTTCCGTCGCCCTGCTTGCCGGGAGCTCCATTGTTTGTCTGGTGGTCATTGCTGCTCCCTTGCCCATTGTTCTGTTGGCTTCGTCGCCACTCGGCCCACTCGGCATCCGTCCACGTCTGCTGCTGAGATTGCTGAGGCTGAGCCATGGTGCCGCTAGGGCCGCGAAGGAAGAAAGCTTATGGAAGTTCGAATCTCGAGTCAGGAGCGCTGCTCAGGTTCCCAAAAACACATCATTGACATGCGAACACATGTTGCATCGCAGATCAGCTCTCATTGAGGCCCCTGCCTTCTGCGTGTTGTCCGTCTTGGATGGGTCTGTCTGGCCTGCCGCAGGCTTAAACTGCTTCGGGCTACAACCCTAAACCCCCCGGAACCCTGCAGCCCAGCCTGAGTTGACTTCCAGCTGTCGATGGCCCAGCCTGAGCCACCGATTCTATCCCCATTACCTAGCCTTCCTTTGCCCCTCCCGCACTCCTGCACTCTCTCCTGTCTCCCTTTCTTCTCCTGCCTCCTGTTCACACTTCTTTCGTTCATTCT